GGGGGGGGGGGTGTGTGTGTGTGTGTGTGTGTGTGTGTGTGTGTGTGAGAGAGAGAGACAGAGACAGAGACAGAGACAGATAAACATTCCCAAGTAATGCCATATCTAGTTACCTCACCAATGCTTTTATATTTTCATATTACAAATAGAGCAGCAATATAAGTTCTCTCTTTACTTTGTTATGATTGATTTTTATTCATCCATAACCTTATTACATTTTTCTACTTTCATCAATAGTGGATCTCTCAAATCTCTGAAGGTCTTACATCCTGTGACTAAATTAAATCACTCCTTCTAGTTACTAATTTAAGCCTGTTGTGTGGTAATCAATTTAAAACGTAGAATATTCTGAATGTTTAAAACTAATTATTGTCAGATATTAAGAGCTTGTGTACAGGTGCTTCTCTGTAATGGTAAACTGAGAGAGAGAGAGAGAGAGAACAGCCACACTGACCAAAAAGTGGTTTATATATGTGTGAAATTACTCTTTGCCTTCATGCTGCAAAAAATTCATCAAGATCATAAATTCATGGATTGAATCTGAAAATTTACACCTCAAAGCTTGCTCTTTTTTCTCTCTGGCCATCCCCAAATTCAACTGACAGTAAAAATTCAGTAAAATATGTAAAGCTTTTTATGCCATGACTTATTTCTTATTGTGCATCTTTCATCGGGGGTATCAGCTGGCCTATAATCCCCATTTTTAGATTACATGCTTGGGATGCTGGGAATTTTTTTGGCCTCAGTTCAACAATGTACTTAAACCAAACAATTTACAAAGCAGCAATTCTATGTTCAACATAAATGAAAACATGAAACAACCAAAAAAATGAATCGTGATTTGGAGTTACGTGCACAAAGTTCTTTCTCCCCAAAACTATTCTTTAAAATGTTTGTAACCCCTTTAGAGTCCTGAAAGGTTAGGATTTTTATCTATCCCTTTCCTCCTAAACACATGGATTCTCTTTAAGGCTAGGGACACACATTACACATAAACCTATTTAAGTGATCAGAAACTCGTTTAAACCTGTAAACAGATGTTCAATGTACATAAACCAGTTTGAGAATGGCTGAAACCAGTTTGAAATAAACCTGGCTGAATGCAGTATCAGACTTAACTGATTTGGCTCAAATGGGCACAGGCAATGTCTGCCCCAGACCCCTTGCTGGTTTAAATTAAAATCACAGTCCCCAGCATCCCAGCATGCTCTCTGGGCTGGGCGGGGCTCTCTGCTCCACAGCAGGGCAGGCCCTTCCCTTCTACTCCCTGGCTGGAGCTTGGCACAGACTTGCAGGCACAGCAGGGTCTGCTGACTTCCCCATGCCACCCTTCCCCACCCTCTCCCCACTCACAGCTTAAGCAGAGATCTCTTCCTCCTCTCTGCCACAGCACAGACCATAGCCAGCATGTGGTATGCTAGCTAATGCCAAGAGATGTCTGCATGTGTGTCTGTCTCCAATTTCACTGGGATAGGCAGACAGAACAGTGACTGCTTACGGTTTTTTGGAGCTAATCAACAGGTCAGCCAGTAAGCTGTTTAAAAAGGTTTGAAGTAATGTGGAAAGAGGTTATTGTTTTGCTAATTGGGCAATAAAGCCTGCTATCAGTCCCCCAGCTGGCTTGCTCGCCTGTCAGTTTGCTGCAGGCAGTATGACGAAGCAGGGAGGGAGAGTAAGAAGCTCTGTATCATCAACACATGCATGCACTGCATCCCCCCTCCCCTTGCCTCAGTGCACGCCTGGGGCTGGCAACACTCCCGCCCCTTGAGCAGCCAACAGGGAAAAGCCTGCAACCGTGCAGGCAGACATCCCTAATGATGTCTGGCCACATCCCCCCCAGCTCAGCTCGCTGCAGAAGGGAAGGGAGGGCTGCTCTAGCACCCCCCAGCTTCTAGCCTGAGCCACTGCAGGCATGTGCCTGAATTTCCTCAGTCCAGAGAGAATGTCTGTCCAGTTTCAAACCAGTTCAGCTTAGTCAGGTTACACTAACTTGCAAAGATTGAATCAATTCAGGCTTTCTGAATGTCTGTCTCTAGCCGAGATGCCAGCTTTGAGCATTGATTGTTTACTCAAAGTGGCCACTTTTTAATTTTCCTATTACCCCCAGCAAAAAGAGTTTTGCCAGCCAAGCTGGATCTTTAACTCTAATGGACCACACCATTTTCTTCAAATATAAACAATGAAAAACCAAAACAGAGTAAAAAGTACAAAGCACTTCATCTTACGTATTTAGATTTGGCAGAACTAAGAGAAGTAAAAAAAAATGCAAAATATTTTTGCACTGACACCTGAAGGAAGTCTGAATTCATAAAAAGAAAAATTTTGTTCAGTAGAAGGGATGTCATTTTTTGCATGCAAAGTGACGAAAATACTTAAAACTATCAAATTGCTGTCACAACTTTCCTAAAACGTAAAAAATTCTACTGTTTTTAACTTCTGTGATCACCCGCTTTCTTATGGCGATATATTTTATTGGACCGACTAAGAAACCCTTTCCTCTTGCATAATTTGTGGACCATCACAGCTACAATATCATTCTTATATTACCTTTCTTTTTGTACTGGTAGAATTCTTTACTATCTAATGCATATACATTTCTTCCTTCTATCAGCATTGCTTTTGAGTATTTCCCTTTTGATCTGACTTACATTTTGTTTTTTCTCACTATTTATATTTTTAGTATCCTTATTATTCACTATCTTTCTTTCCTGATTGAAAAATTTGCACAACATTGCTTCTGAGGCTTTGTAACAGGATGTGAAATAGTATTTAAATAAAAAAAAAATAGAACTAAGACATTCTCAATTCCTACTTCTTCTCTATTCTATATCTAGATCCACTAGCTAATATTCTATATGCAAACCCAAGCACATTATATAATCTTGATGAAACCAAGTAGTCCTTTCCTTTTGCTCTCCACATTTATTTTACACATCAGGGATTTAAAATACCCAGCATATAGGCTGTATCCTACTTGGCTGACAGATAAAGGTGTCTATAGAGGACTGTTTTTGCATCTTCTGGGCCAGCCTGAAATAAGAAAATATGCTCATCTCACTCAGGTGCTGATTTAGATATGTAATTACCAGTGTATGCCAAATCTACATAGGTAGTTACTTCAACTGTGTGTATAATAATGTAGATACAACAGGTAACTGTATAAGCAAATGGACAAATAATTAGAAGACAAACATAGCAGAGGCTTCATAAACCATTCATTGAATCTCTCATTGATGCACAACTAAAAGTTTAGATAATCCACACAGGGCATTTTATACCCTTAATTTTAGCGAAAAGTGCCCCACACTGTGGATTGCTTAAAAAAGAGTGCATACAGCCATAATTTTTTTTTTAGGGATAATGAAATGTTGTTCTCCCCATAAGATCATCTGGCTGTTCCTCACAGATCCCCATGTTGTTTTAAAAATAAATCTTGCCACACAAGGATACATTCAAATTCAGAAGGGTAGGGATAGTACTTTGAATGTTCAAATAGTACTTTGAATGTTAAAAGGATTTTAATTAGCCAAGTGGTATATCCCTAGCAAGAATGCAAACATGCAAATAATTCAAGATGGTTCATAAAAGTGGAAGGGGAGTGGTATTCCTAAAGCATCCCAGAGCATAATTCAGTTCTAAATTAGACACAGAGGGTTCTTAAACGATGCATGAAAACAGATAAGCTCCTTAGAATCAGATCTACTAGAGTTAGCATGCTGAGCAAAGAGCCACTAAAGTTAGTCAACAGGAAATGCTGATGACAAGAAAATATCCCAAACACCACCCTTCTCCAGGGCTTGTATGTATTTCTGCTCTGGAAACCTTGTACCAAAGTAAAATGCCTAAAGACCTTTATATTAAAAATGGTGCTTTGTTTTGAAACCCTGCTAGAAGAGAGATGCTGGTGCTTTCCTATTCAACAGCATAACAACACTCGTCCAGGAAGGATTGAAACCCAGGTTCAACTCTTTCCTTTCTCCGAAGGAGTGATGCATTTTTTATGAAACTAATCACACACTTTCCATGGGAGTATCTAAATAATGGGCTACAATAACAATCACTCTTGTTCTCCCCTACTCTGGCCCAGTGGATTTTAAATTCTTTTTTGCTTGACAGCAAAACTCATTCAGGCAAGGCCTCTACTCTAGATTTGATACAGAGGCCGTGGAGAGGACTGAAATTAAGTTTCCCACATACTGGAAGAGTACCCTAACCACTAGGTTATTTTATTGGGTGAGAATGCCATTTATTCCTTCAAAATCATAGCTAGAAAAAGAAAACAGACACTGCTGTGTCCACTGGTTTTTTTTTGTTTTTTTTTTTTAAGAGGCAGTGGATGTGGGCAAAGCCCTCTTAGTATATGATAAGCATGCTCAGAATACCTACTGAACAGGATACTTCAATGGGCCCATGTAGGGAATGGGCCTATGTAGGGCTTAGGCCTGAAAGAGGTGCTGAACTGTTCTATACCTGTCAAAAAGGAGACACTTACTTACAGGCACACACCAAAGCAAAACTTCATGGGCCAGATCCTATTCTACCTATGAGACACCCAAGTAGAGTTAGACACCTAACCACAATGTTATTCCACCCTGCTGAAGTCCCTGAAAAATTAACATGCCTACTTTTATAACATGCTGTCACCTCAGCCTCAAGACAAAAAAAAAAAAAATCACAAATAGCAGCAAGTTCAAGGAAAACCTACAAACCCTTTTGCATTAACTGTTTTTCAGGGATTCAAGCAAGGTGAACAGTATCACATTTGGGTACGTCAGTCTATCTGGGCACCTAATAGGTGGAAAAGTTTCTAGGCTAATGTGCCTAAGGAACTTTACTGATGAAAACTTAGAGAATCTATTTTCTCACATTCCAAAGTCCTTTTGTGAATCGCAGCCTTAGAGTGATTAAACAAAAAAGCCACACAAATGCTTTATTATGCATAAATTTAGTTTTTTGAAGGATAATGGAAAATCTCAAGTTTAGCAACCACTGTTATTTCTGCTCTTACTTTCTTTTGCCCTCGTCTTCTTCAAATGGAAAGTTTCTTATTTTCTCAAATCTTTATTATGCCAAACAGCCATTATGCATGAGACAATCTTCAGTCTTGAGGCTCTGGGCTACATGCCATCTTCCCCAAATGCCACTGTCTGATACTGCTCCTGTCACATCCATGCTGCTTCCTTATCTAAAGCCACAGGTTCAGACATGGCAGCACAGGTAGGAAGGATACTGCTATATGAGCTGATGGCTCGAAACTGACTTCTAGATTAGCAATATGTCCCTCACCCACAGAGCAAAAAAATCCTCCTATCTGTCACAATAACTCTTGAGGACACCATGTCATTAGGAAGAAGTCAAGATATGATAACGAAATCTAAAACATAAGAGGTTCATCTGTATACAAAACAGATTCCAGTTTACAAAAGGTCCACTTAAAAAGGTCCATGTCAAGGTCAGCTTCACTATCAAATTCTGATATAGCAGCTATTTAGGAAAAGAAAAAAATTCTCAGGCATGGGTGCTATTGACAGTTACTGTACCACATAGGCAAATCCAGGCCTACAACAAAGTATGTAGCTAAACCCCTTAAGGCACGCACAGTGAAGAGAGCTCACTCCTGCAAGTGGCAAGGCTACATGCCCCTCACCACAATACTGGATGCCAGTGAGCTCAGAGAGCTCACCAGCTGATCAGCACAGGATCTAGCCAGAGTGCCTACTTTCATCTACCTCGAGAGCTCAGGGGTGAGTGCCACCACTTCTGTCCCTTCTTTTGCCCTGCTGCTGAATTCAGCCAGGTGAGCAGAGTGGAGGGTAGATGAATGGGGCAGAGAGTTGAACAGCAGGAGCACTTTCTCCCAATCTCTGGAGCTACATAAAAGTAGGGACTCCAACCAGGGCATGCACCAATCAGCTGGTGAGCTCAGGGCTCCCATCAGGAGCTGCCCTTACCTGTGAGCTCAGAGAGCTCACTGAAACTCCAGCACACAGCCAAAAAGGGGGTTGTGACCACGCTGCTGCTCTCCTTGCAGATCTGCCTTTGCTATACCATCTACATTTTGTCAAAACAGAAGTGTATGGAATGAAAATGTGGCAAACAAACTCAATGATGTGGCTTATTTTCAATGCATTTCATATACAACATAACTTTATTCTGATTTAAAAATACAGGATGACTTTCCTTACCCAAAAGATGCATGTAAAATATATTATCTGCAGAATTCTAAAATATGAAGAAGGCAGAGTAGGTCTGACCTCAGACAAACACAGATGACTACTTCTTTCTAAGATGTGAAGAGTAATAGACATTTGAAGAGCTCTACTTAAAGCATTTGACTGAAATGGGTGGACCACCTTCTGTTACCATCCTAACAACACTGATAATTGAATGAGGGATTATTTTACTATTGGCTCAAGACATGTTGGGTGCATCTACCACAATAAGTCAAAATTAAATCAAGCTTTGACATCAGCTCCTGATGTCAGTTGTTAAAGCCTAGTGAGGAGAGATCTGTGAAAGCTGTTTACTTTGTGAGAGGTATAATATATTGAGGCAATGCAGAATTATACTTTGTTTCTATTATATAACCCCTTATGAGTTTTTCAGGCTTGTAACAGAAAATAAAAACAGCTTCATTGCAAATGCAAAAGCCAAAATGTTTGATGTGTTTTTAAAAAAAACGAACAAAGAATGACAACAGCCTCCCCCCATCTGAAGGATACGGTATATGTAGATACAAGGGAAACAAATTCCTACAAGTAATTCCTCCAGCGATATAGAGTTGACAATATGATTCCTTTCATACCTGGATTACCATATACTTTAACAACAGCTGAAGAAAATAGCAAGTCTGATCCTCAGCAATCTTTTCACCAGAGACAGCTGGCAAAAGTGGGGTTATTTCTTCAGGACAAATCTTTGCTAAAATTCAAAGAAAAAAAGATAAATTACACATAAAAACTTCAAAATAATGGAATAAATATAACACAGCGTCTGATTGGCACTTGGCTTTATACAGTAACTGGCCGGATCTTTTTGCTTTACTCCCCCTGCACAGGCTTCTGACAAGCTTTTGCCTCCTTAAAAGCTACATACATATACAAATTATATCTAAACACACAACCATGTACATACAAAAACTAACTCTAAACAGTTCATGTGAGATAACAACAGGTACTTTGATAAGATAAACCATCAGACAGCAATCCATCTACTCAACCTTTCATATAGACTAAATAAATGATATCTTTGGAGGTGGAGCACTGAAGGAATGTTCTTATATTTTGAATATCATATCCTCAACAGCACTGCTGAATGGAACCATGAAATGTCAGTCTTCACCTTTGCTCAATTTTGTATTTTATGAAACTGAATTAAGAAGCCTTAACCTACACCTCCCAGTTCAGCTCTCTAAAGGAAGCTGCCATTTAAAAGTGGATCAATGTCCTCTTCAAAGCTCCCCAAATTATTTTTTCTTTGAACTTCTGCCTCCTGCAGTGGTACTTTAGTAGTAGCATTACATAGGGTTACAGTGAAAATGATGAGAATGGCAACTTGTTCAAGATGTGGGCCAAGGCATACCACCTAAGCCTGATCTATGACTCAAGGCTACCTAGGTCTTTGACTAGCTCCTGATGGAGGTGAAACTATAATTCAGACCTCACCTTTGTTGACAGCAATATAGAAGTTACATGCAAAAAAGATGTATTAGAACCCATTCCACACCCAGCACGGACTAAATGAATTGCTATCAATGTGACAACAGCCATAACTCTAAATATGGTATCAATGTGTAGACGCTTCGGCTTTAAGAAAGCAGACTAGAGAGGCTTTTCTGAAGAACTTGACAAAATGGCCCACATCAAACCAGTCTTGGCTAACTACCACCTCTTTGTGAATGCACTGTGTAAAACCTCCAACGGGTATATACACCATGAGGATGCAAAACTGAGTATATAATAGGGATGTGAAAGGATAAAT